GGTGGGGCTGGCTGGGGAAGGGAGGGTGGGGAGGGGGGGTGGGAAAGGTGGCGAGGGGCTGGGTGGGGAGGGTGGGGCTGGGTGGGGGGTTGGAAGCGTGGGGCTGGGTGGGGAGGGGTTGGGTGGGGGGAGGGTGGGGCTGGGTGGGGAGGGGAGGGTGGGGAGGGGCTGGGTGGGGAGGGGTGGGGGAGGGCTGGGTGGGGGAGGGGCTGGGTGGGGAGGGTGGGAGGGGGCTGGGTGAGGAAGGTGGGGCTGGGTGGGGGGTGGGGCTGGTGTGGGGGGTGGGAGGGGTGGGGCTGGTCACCCCGTGGTGCCCTTATAAAACTCAACGTTTAACCTACTCCGCCGGCGTGTGCACCGCCCTCACAGTCGGGCATATTTGCGGAATACACCACGCCGCCGTTGACCCTGCAGGCCATTGAACGAGCAACCCAACGTTCCTACCAGCTCCCTCCGCAGGACAATGTGTTTAAAACCTCTCCGGCAGTAGTATAGGCGTCAGCGGCTCATCCAGAACAGCGCCGTCACGGCAGGGTGAGGACGCAATGTTCGTAGTTGTCTTCCACCCCCAACCCAGATCTACAAATACGATGAAGGAGACATCAGGGGCAGTGATACAACGCTTGCTGACGAGGTTATCCGTGCCTTGACCCCCCTCCTCCTCGTCACCAACACGGAATGTGGAATTGCTCCGCTGTCGTGATACACCATCAGTGGGTGGTGGTGGTGGTGATGACGCTGTGTAAAAAAAACAAATCTATATCATGGGACCTCCTTTGCCAGTACCAAAATATACTAATAGGGGTTTTTCCCTTTTTTTTGGAAACAAAATGACACCTTTTGCAAGGAATCATGCTTACATTAACCACAATACTTGCAGTCAAATGCAAACAAAAAACACAACTCTGATAATTTATGCTTTGTCTTTGAAACTCATTGGTCCACACCAGAGACAGCTTTCTTTAGAGCCTAGTCTCATATGGTGTTGGACCAGATGACGCCAAAAGGCGCACAGTTCAAAGACAACTCACTACCAGAGTAATGAGAGCTCGGGGTGAGCAGCTACATCATGGGACCTCCTTTGCCAGTACCAAAATATACTAATAGGGGTTTTTCCCCTTTTTTTGGCAACAAAACTGACACATTTTGCAAGGCATCATGCTTACATTAACCACAATACTTCCAGTCAAATGCAAACAAAAACAATACTCTGATAATGTATGCATTGTCTTTGCAACTGATTGATCCACACCAGAGACAGCTTTCTTTAGAGCCTCAAGTATTGTGGTTAATGTAAGCATGATTCCTTGCAAAGGTGTCAGTTTTGTTGCCAGAAAAAAGGGGAAAAACCCTATTAGTATAAAACAAATCTAGTTTTTTGTTCCTGGGTAGTAAGTGTTATTTCCTAATTGCGTATGCCTCAAAAGTACAGAACGTGGCGATTATTGTTACCCTACAAACTTTGCTTTTGTGACCAGCACAGTGATATTTTTGAAATGTTCCTATTTTCAATGAGAAAACGTCGCGTGAATGTGTGTCTCCTCTACGTAAAGTCCCGGTCACAAAAGCAAAGTTTGTGGGTAGTAATACTAATAGCCGTTTTCTGTACCCTTTGAGGCATAAGCAATTACGAAATGACACTTACTACCCAAGAACAAAACATCGTGTGACATCGTGTAATGATTTGGGGAAAGTCGGGAAGAAAATTTTAATTTAAAGAGTTGAGCCCCCCCCCCCTACACACCCCCAGCCCCCCCCCAACCCCCACCCACCGCCCAGCCCCCCAAACAGATGGCGAGAACGAGAGGACTTTTCTTAGAAAATCTCCCCCGTTTCTAATTACGCGACGGCTTGCCTAACGTCGCCGCAGCTATTTTATGAATTAAATTCATCTTCTTGGTTCTTTCGGTAAAGTCACGTAGAAGGGAAGTAATAAAATAATAAAAATAAAACATAATAAATTATTCTCACGACGTTTCGGCCACAACGCAAGCAGCCGTCCTCAGGTGAAAACCAGGTCCGTCGAGGCGACAGAGTCTGAATGAAAGGTGAAAACCAGGTCTGTCGCCTCGACGGACCTGGTTTTCACCTGAGGACGGCTGCTTGCGTTGTGGCCGAAACGTCGTGAGAATTATTTTATTATGTTTTATTTTTATTCTTTTTATTATTTTATTACTTCCCTTCTACGTGACTTTACCGAAAGAACCAAGAAGATGAATCCCTGCAGTCACGAAAGCTTTAAATAAAATTTAATTTAAATTTAAAAAAGAAAATTTGTTGAACGCGTTGTCGTCGGATGCCGCTGGATTGGCACGTGCGCACCAGATGAGAGCTCGATTGTCTTCGGGTTTGTGTCCGCGGGCACCCTTCACGGACTTGCAGCAACAGCGACTACGACAAAAAAATGTACGGAACTAAAGAGGAGTTTTTATTTTATATTTTGTTTTAGTCGTCACAGCACCGGTGCATGTCCTGATGGGGGACGGGCGGGGTGGGCTGTGAGGTGATGTCGCACACACACACAGACACACACAGACACACACACGCACAGACACACACACAGACACACACACAGACACACACACAGACAGAGAGTGTGGGGGGTGGAGTGTGAGATGAGTGAGTTAGGAGTGGAAGGTGTTGGGGGTGGAGCGTGGGAAGATGGAGTGTGGGGGGGTAGAGTGTGGGGGGGGTGGGTTAGGAGTGGGAGGAGTTGGGGTGGAGTGTGGGGGGTGGAGTGTGGGGGGGTGGAGTGTGGGGGGGTGAGTTAGGGGTGGGGGGTGTTGGGGGTGGAGTGTGGGGGGAGGGTGTGGGGGGTGAGTTAGGAGTGGGGGTGTTGGGGGTGGAGTGTGGGGGGGGTGGAGTGTGGGGGGGTGGAGTGTGGGGGGGTGAGTTAGGGGTGGGGGGTGTTGGGGGTGGAGTGTGGGGGGAGGGTGTGGGGGGTGAGTTAGGAGTGGGGGGTGTTGGGGGTAGAGTGTGGGGGAGTGGAGTGTGGGGGGGTGAGTTAGGAGTGGGGGGTGTTGGGGGTGGAGTGTGGGGGGTGGAGTGTGGGGGGGTGGAGTGTGGGGGGTGGAGTGTGGGGGGAGGGTGTGGAGGGGTGAGTAAGGAGTGGGGGGTGTTGGGGGTGGAGTGTGGGGGGGGTGGAGTGTGGGGGGTGGAGGGTGGAGGGGGGTGAGTAAGGAGTGGGAGGTGTTGACAGTGGAGTGTGGGGGGGTGGAGTGTGGGGGGGTGAGTTAGGAGTGGGAGGTGTTGGGGGTGGAGTGTGGCGGGTGGAGTGTGGGGGGGTGGAGTGTGGGGGGTGGAGTGTGGAGGGGGGTGAGTTAGGAGTGGGAGGTGTTGGGGGTGGATTGTTGGGGGTGGAGTGTTGGGGGTGGAGTGTGGGGGGGTGGAGTGTGGGGGGGGGGTGAGTTAGGAGTGGGAGGAGTTGGGGGTGGAGTGTGGGGGGGTGGAGTGTGGGGTGGTGGAGTGTGGGGGGTGGACTGTGGGGGGGTGAGTTAAGAGTGTGAGGTGTTGGGGGTGGAGTGTGGGGGGGTGGAGTGTGGGGGGGAGGGTGGAGGGGGGTGAGTTAAGAGTGTGAGGTGTTGGGGGTGGAGTGTGGGGGGTGGAGTGTGGGGGGAGGGTTTGGGGGGGTGAGTTAGGAGTGGGGGGGTTGGGGTGGAGTGTGGGGGGTGGAGTGTGGGGGGGTGGAGTGTGGGGGTGGGGGTGAGTTAGGAGTGGGAGGTGGTGGGGGTGGAGTGGGGGGGGTGGAATGTGGGGGGTGGAGTGTGGAGGGGGGTGGATTAGGAGTGGGAGGTGTTGGGGGTGGAGTGTGGGGGGTGGAGTGTGGGGGGAGGGTTTGGGGGGGTGAGTTAGGAGTGGGGGGGTTGGGGGTGGAGTGTGGGGGGGGGTGGGGGGGTGAGTTAGGAGTGGGGGTGTCACGGCTTCTGCGAGCAGAAAATATCTTCAAGCAGAACACTTTAGTGCTGGATACAGCAGTTCAGTGGTCAATGTTGGTGGTAGTGTGGTGTAATCTTGGTGGTGGTGGTGTAATCTTGGTGGTGGTGGTGTAATCTTGGTGGTGGTGGTGGTGTAATCTTGGTGGTGGTGGTGTTATCTTGGTGGTGGTGGTGGTGTAATCTTGGCGGTGGTGATGTTATCTTGGTGGTGGTGGTGGTGATGTTATCTTGGTGGTGGTGGTGGTGGTATCTTGGTGGTGGTGGTGGTGGTGTAATCTTGGTGGTGGTGGTGGTGTTTTGGTGGTGGCGGTGTTGTCTTGGTGGTGGTGGTGGTGTGATCTTGGTGGTGGTGGTGGTGATGTTATCTTGGTTGTGCTGTGGTCTGAGACTGTTGTTGTTTTTTCGCTGCCTTGCCCAAGCTAGACAAATCGGACTTCGTAAAACACACACGTATATATATTTAATATATCCATTGTTTATTTATATTTTTTGACTTCCTTGCCGTTTTCTCTACTTTTACACTCCTATCGGTTTCTTTTTTTCGTTCGCGCTCTACGTG